CCATCTTTGCCTGACAAATTGGGGCAAAAGGACTGAAAGCTCCCTTCCCCTACCAAGGGTCCCTCCAGCAGATCTGGGTGACCCCAGGGAGGCCTGGGGTCCTCTCAGAACCTGAGAAGGGTAAGTCCCTGCACTCCACCATGCAGGGCCTTGATCCGTCTCTCGCGCATGACCTTGGTCATACTAAGGGGAAGTGGCCAGAGGAATTTCCAGCTTTCAGGGTAAGAGAAGAGGACCCGGAGGTTGTGAGACCCTCCCCAGGGGACTACAGCGGCCAGCCCTGCTCCTGGAGCTGCTCAGGGCCATGTTCTGCCCCATGCTGGGGACAGAGGAGGAAGGGGATAGGGTGGCGCAGCCCTGAAAGGTGTAGTCTGAGGACAAAAGAGGAAAGGAGGGGGCGAGCACCCAACTGGGGAGACCATCCTGGCCTAGCCATAGAGCCCCCTCATCTGGAGGGACGGAGAAGGGCCCTCGGATCTCACGCCTGGGGAAGCCCAGCTTGGGGATGGAGGAGGAGACAGCCTAGGCCCTTCCCTGGCCAGCTCCCAATCTGGCAGGAGCAGAGGTGACCTGGGACCATCTGCGGGCCAGCCCTTGTCCCCACATAGGCTGCTCTGGTCTGGGGCCCACGTTAGGGAACTGAGAACACCTTCCTGCTACCCTACTGCCACCTCCTGCCCTGGGGCTGGGCCGGAGGGCTGGGCTTTCAGAGACTTCTTTTCAGTTCTTGGGAGGGGTGGGCACCGGCTAGAGCGTGGAATCATGGACTCCCGTAACTGGGGACAGGATGACAGGCAGGCCCAGCTGTCTGGGAGGCTTTCCACATCTGCCCTGACCTCCAGGCCCCCGGGGAGTGAGTGAGGTGGGCCTCCAACATATGCCGCAGCCTTTCATCTGCACTTCCCTGAGGGCTGGCTGCTAGGGGGGTGCACGCACGCAGGGTGTCTGCCCCTGTGTGTCCAGCTCTGCATCTACCGAGGTGGGCTGATGGGGCGCTCCGCCGGCCGGCGAGCCAGGCGCCCTGGGCGTGAGGCCGCTGACAGGCTCGGTGGCGGTGGCTGACGGGAGGCGGCAGGGAGCGGAGACATCTGCTGCCCACGCGGCTGCCTGCCCGCTGAGGGAAGGCCTCCACACGTCACAGCCGCAGCAGCGGCCTTGTTTGGAGCTGATCAGGATGCAGGCCCCTGGCAGGCAGGCAGTCTAGGACTCGCTACGCCAGGAAAAACCCCGTTGTCCCCAAAGTCACACGGCAGCAGCTCAGGTCTAAGGTGCCTAGGTGGCTGAGCCTGGGTGGGCCCTGGGGAGGTTTACAGAGCTGGCGAGGCACAGGCCACAGCTTGCCTAGAAGGTGGGGGGGAGGGCAGGTCTACGGGGACTGATGATATGTGGGAGTGTCCTCACCACGGGGACTCCAGAGCCAGCCCCTGCCAAGTGTCAGGGCCTCCCCAATCCAGGACCCAGTAGGGAGGGACAGCTTTATGCAGACAGGGAGGTGGCTGGCTACCTGGCAGGGCTGGGGACTTATCATCTCAGCCCATGAACTTCAGGGATCCCCACGAACACCATGCATGGTTCCTTCCCCACAAACTATAATGATAGCTGGCCTTGGTCAAGCATCCTTGGTGTGCCAGGCCCCGCCTAATGGGCAATGGTGCCAGCATGCTTCTCTCCCCAGCAACTGGCCCTAGAACACCCCCACGGTGTGCCCAGCCTCCGCAGGGGCTTCATGTGCCCCTTCATCTCAGGTGGTCCTCGCCACAACCCTGTCTCACGTTGTATATAGAGGGGAATGCTGAGGCACAGAGAGGTTAAGGTCTTGTACCCCAAGCAGAGTGGGAGTAGGAATCCAAGCCTATCTGAAGCTAGCTGTGACTGTGGGAGAATGTGGCACCTGGCTGTGACAGTGGCTCCCAGGCCACTGTGTTGCCCGGATTGGGTGGAGCAGGGGCTGGGAATGCAGCTGCTATGGGCGAGGGGCTGATTCATGTCCCAGCCTCCTGGCTGACCGCACTGCTCCTGTCTGCCTCCCTTCTGTCTGTGTGTCCTACACAGGGCAGCTACAGGGATCGTCCTGGATTAAGCTCCACTTTAGAACCCTGCATGGTTCCCAACCACCCGGGAAACATGCCACCTTCTCACCTGGACCTACGAGACCTGGCAAGAGCTGATCCCTGCCTCTTCATCTCTTCCACTCTCCCCTCACTAACGATGCTCCAGCCACACACACCTCCGTCCACTCTCACTCCAGATAAGCCATTAGCCATGTGGGCTCTTCTACCTGGAACGCTGTCTCCCTGCCCTCACGCCCTTTTTGCATAGAAAAAAATACAGTGGTAGGCCCAGCTGGTGGTGTGGTGGTAAGGTGGCTGGATCCCACATGGCTGACGGTGATTCAAGTCCCAGGCCTGGTGCCTTGAAAACCACACTGGAATTGTGTGCATGGGTGTCCAAACTCCCAAGAAAAGAATGGAGGAGAAGGGATTGTGATTATCTCCACCAGGGGACGCTTTCTCTCTCTCTCTCTCTCAGTCCCCTTCCCTAGTAAGCACACATCCCAAGAACAAAACACACACATGCGCACATGCACATACACACACACACACACACACACACACCAGTGGTTAACAGCATAGGTTTGATCTGGCCTGGATTGAAATCCTGACTCAGACACTTAACAGTTAAGTGTCCTTCTATGTCTCTGGACCTCGGTCTCCTCATCTAGGAAATGGGCTTGCCGTGAGAATTAATGAGACAATGCGTATAAAGGTGACTGGGAGAGTCATGGTTTCCTGGCCTGACGCCCTCTCAGACCAGTACTCCCCTAGCTACACAGAGCTGGCAGCATCCCAGCCACCCCTGCTTTCAAGAACTTCCTCCGCCCACAGGGGCCTGAATGCACCCCTTGTGCTGGCTGAGTCACCCTGCAGCTAGCCGCCCCCTAAGGAGGAAGACTCCTCTCCAGCATGGGGACTGGGGCAAGGCATTGCTCCCCCAAGCCTCTCTTTCATCGTCTGTAAAATAGGAGTGGGAACAGCCACTGCCTCACCCGCTGGCTGAGCGGTGCTGTCAGCTAGGTATGGATAAGGTGCTGTGCCCAGGCCTGGCACAGGGCAGGTATTCATGAAGGGGCAGGGCCCTTGAGCACGGCCTCAAGAGGAGGGTGGGATGAGGCCAAGTAGGTGCCTTCCCCAGGAGGACAGGCTTGTGCAGGTGCCCAGGCCTGTGCACATCTCCAAGTGCACATTAACGGTGGGCTGGTTGGCCGAGGGTGTTGCTTCAAACAAGGAACATCCCTGCAGGTAGTCTCTTTCAGGGTCGGTCGGCCTTCCTCATACCACGTTTCCAGCCCAGGAGCTGCCAGGACCTCAGCTTTGTCTGCTCACTACTGGGAACCGGCTGAGCTGAACTCGGTGGGGCTCCCAGGAGTGCCTCCCCCTCCCACCACCACCACTGGGAACAGGGTCCTTGGTGGCTCTTGAGCTACAGCTAGGCAGTGGCTGGAGAGGCTGAGTGAGAATGAGGGTAGGTGCCTCGGGTCTATTTGCAAAGACTTTGTAGGGTGCTCTGCTCTCCAGATTCCCCGGGGCACTTACTCAGGCCTACCCAGCCCCTCACATGCGTCTCAGCCAGCCAGCCAGCATTGTCTAAGCCTCCAGATGTGAACACTGCTTGACCCTGTGGGGTCAGCAGTAGCACTGGGCTGGCCTGAGTGCCTGTTCTGCACTTGTGACCCAGACAGCAGCTGGAAGTGGGTGGCTCTAGATTTGGCTGGGGAAGTGATGTTCAGACCTCCCCATTTTTCTTTTAAATTTTATTTATTTAAAGAAAGACGGGGAGCCCAAACAGGGTCTTGGCCATGTGTTGATCCTCACCCCAGCCATCCAGCCAGCCAGGATCACGGGTGTGCCTAGACTGAGCTGGGATCTGAACCCTGGGTCTTCTTATATGGCTCCAGCATCGCACAACAGTGGCCCACCACCTGTGCCACTGCGGCTGGGCCCAGACCTTGCAATCTTAATTATAACGAGATACGGAAACACAGTGATGATAGGGGTGCATAAGGTACTCTGAAAGCCCCAGGGAGAGGCTCCTGGAGGAAGCAACCTCCATGCTGAGACCTAAACCATAAGGAGGAATAAGACAGGAAGTGGAGTTTGGGAGTGGAAGGGAGGAGTGTTCCGGGAAGAGTGTTCCAGGAAGAGGGAACAGCATTTCCAAGAGCGTGGAGGTGAGAGAGATTGGATGCCTGTGAACATGGACATTCAGATGGGACTGAACAGAGTGTGGACTGGTGGAGCTGATGACTGGGCTGGGGACAAGAGATGAAATCCAATGGGGAGGGAGGCAGGGCCATTAAGGGTTAGCCCAGGAGGCTGCTGTGTAGCCTGGCTGGGTGGGACATTGCCTCTGTAGGGTGTTTATGGCATGTCTGTGCTCTGTGTGTATCTGTTCCCTTGTGGCTTTGTGTCCCCTATATTGGGTTGTCGGAAAAGTCATGTCATATCTTTTTCTGTGCAAAAATGCATCATGACTTTTCTGACAACCCAATATATCCTTGGGCATATAAGCAGGCTGTAAGAGTAACATCCTGGGACCAGCAGGTGGCATAGTGGTTAAGGCACTGGACTCCCACATGGCCAACTGCAGTTCAAGTCCAGGACTTGGTGGCTTGAAATTCACATTGGGTGTGTGTGCATGCATGCCCAAAATCCTGAGGGGCGAATGGAGGAGAAAGGATTGCAGCATGACCATCTCCCATGGAGGGTAATTTCTTGTTTTCTGTCTTTCTGTCTCCCTGGTGAGTGCATGTGCCCTATAGTACAAATATCTCAAAAAAAAAAAGAAAAAAAAAAAGAAAAAAGAAAAAAGTGACACCCCACTTGTCCTAGCCAAAGGAAGTCCTTCTCAGATATCCTCACACCCCACCAGGCCTCCAAATGTTAGAGGTGTTTAGAGCAGAGGCTGCAGCAAGACCACACGGAGCCCTCAAGAGGTCTCAGCCTGTCCACCCACTGGTCACACTGCGACAAGGTCACGCAGCCAGGTTCTGAGGCTGGAGGGGTGTAGAGCAGAGCCTGCAGTAAGGCCACATGACTGCCCAGCCACCTGGCTTGTCCACCCACAGGTTCATGCTGGCAGTAAGGCTGCACTGGCTGCCCTCTGCCCAGGGGACATGATCCAGGCCATCAACGGTGAGAGCACAGAGCTCATGACACATCTGGAGGCGCAGAACCGCATCAAGGGTTGCCACGATCACCTCACGCTCTCTGTGAGCAGGTATGCGCTGGGCAGACTGGGCCGGGAGCACGGGGAAGAGATGGAGGGCGGGCCTGGATAGCCGCATCCTGGGTGGATCAAACTGGACCTCACACAGTCTCTGCCCCAGCCCTCGGGATTCCCACCCACGCACAACCCGAAGGACCAGTGCTTTCTTGGTCCCCGGCAGGCACTGTTTAGAGCTGGGATAGCCTATGAAGGAAGAAGCCCCTTTATTTATTTGTTTGTTTGCTGTAGGGTGCATGCACTCACTGGAGAGAAATAGAGAGACAGAGACAGGAAAAGTGAGAAAGCACCAGAGGGATGACCACACTGCAATCCCTTCTCCACTCTCCTCTTAGAATTTTGGGCACACACACACACACACACACACACACACACTCCCAGTGTGTTTTCCAAGCCACATGGTCCAGGAGTAGATCATACAGTCAGCCACATGGGATCCAACAGCCTAAACCACACCGTCTGCTGGCCCAAAGCCCCGCCCTCTTCTTTTTAAGGTTTTTGCCATAGGGCACACCTGCTTGCTGAAGTGAGACAGAGACAGCAGGAGGGAAAGTGAGAAGTCACTCCCTACGGGGGATGGCCGTACCACGATCCCTTCTCTGTTCTCCTCCTAGGATTTTGGGCACATACGCGCACGTACTTGGCATGATTTTCAAACTGCCGGGTCCAGGTCTTAAATCGTGGTCTGTCCGGTGTGGTAGTTCAGTGCCTTAACCAGCTGGCCCGAAGCCCTCCTCTTAACACGAGGCTAGCAGTGTGTTGGGAGCCTACCGCAGGAATTGCAGGCCCTGAAATAAGACCTTAAGGGGCATCTAAGGCATTTATGTCCGTCCTTTTCCTTCCTCCGAGTGACCAGCTCAACCATTTCAAAGCAATTTCTTATCCAAGCACTCATTTACCCCTCAAAACCAGTTTAGAAAGGTAAAACCTAATATGGCCCCCATTTTGCAGATGAGACAGCTGAGGCTCAGTAAATTTGGAGTGGCTTAAAGCCACACAGACTGGGATTAAGAAAGCAAGCAAAATTTAGGCCAGCAGGTGGCGCAGAGGTTAAGGCGCTGGATCCCACAGGGCCAAAGCAGGGTTTGAGACCTGGACCGGGCAGTTTGAAGAACGTCAGGTGCATGTGCATGAATGCCCAGAATCCTGAGAGGAGTAGAGAGTAGAAGAGGTTGTGGCATGGCAGCCAGGGGTGACTTCTCATGTTCCTCTCTCTCTGTCTATGGTGAGTGCATGTGCCCTGTAGCAGATGCAAAAAGAAAGAAAGAGAGAGAGAAAGAATGAAAGAAAAGAAGAGAAAATTGTAAGAAAATTTGACCTCAAGTCCTTCTCACTCCTAAAGACCAGTCTCTTTACTCAGCTGCCAACCACTCCTGCCAGCCCCACAGCTGCCCGCCTCAGCTGCCCCCACCAGGGTTCCCGCCTCTGCCCTGTTAAGTCTGGGCTTGAGACGAGCTTCCCACCAGGGGAAGTGCTGTACAGAGCATCAGGAAAGAAAGGATGGGGAGCAAGCCCTACCAGTGCCCCGAAGGTGATCCTGGGATAGAAGGTCTACCTGGGAACCCCCAGCTTTGCTCAGGCCCCAGCCTTTACTCAGCTCTGACAGGCAGTGGCTAATCCTGGCTGAGTAGCTTCCCCCCGCCTCCCTGCCCTGCCTGGATTCAGAGAAGTCAGACATAACTGCTCAGCCCTGCCACGTTCACTGCTGACAGGGACTTTCCACGCGCCCCTGTGGAAGTGTGTGGGCAAAGCCTTCCCCAACCACAACATGACCAACGTGCCTGAGAGCTGAAATAGCAGGAGGTGATCTGTTGGCTCGGAGCCATTAAACACGGTGGGATGGCAGATGAGGTAGCCCCCCTTGTGCCTGGCCCACATTCAGAGCTGGGTCAGGACCAAGACCCCTGGCTGTGCTCTCGGTGCTGAGTGGACCAGCTGCAAGGCCAGGTCTTTGTGCGCTCCACCTGGCAAGTGGTGAGGATGCCTGGCTGAGAGTGCAGCAGAGCTGGTCCTCCTCCAGCCTCTGGGATCGTAGCCACCCGGTGACCTCTGCAAGCTGGGTTTCCTTTCCCATAAAGCGGGATCACATTCATCACCCTCTCCCAGGCTGAGGCACGGTCTGGATGGGGAAATGTCAGCACTGCTCTGCCCACGACTGGCCTCTGAGGCCTCGCTACTTGGCTGGGCTTCTGGGCCCTGACTCACCTCCTGCTCTGACTATGTGGCTGAACAAGGGTGGCTCTGGTGGTCATGGCAGCTCGCAGGAGCCCAGTCAGGAGATTCCCAGAGGGATTCATCTCAGGGGAGGGCAGTGGGGCGAAGGTTCCCCTTCCTTCCTTCCCTGGTCTTTTATTCTAAGCCAGGCATGGGTGGAGCCAGGGGTCCATTAACTTGTTCCACTCTGGACAGTTCCACCCCAGAATGCCACCTGGCCACAGAGAAGAGGAGAGCACGTTTTCCTCTTGGGAATTTTTAATTTTTTTAGATTTTCGCTGCAGGGTGTGTGCAGTTGCCAAAGAGACAGAGAGAGAGACAGAGAGACAGAAAGCAAGAAATCACCCTCAGGGGGATGGCCATACCGCAATCCCTTTTCTTCCATTCTCCTCTCAGGATTTTGGGCATGCACACACACGCACCCAGCATGAGTTTAGGCCACCAGGTCTGGGACTCAAACTGCAGTTAACTACATGGGAGTCCAGCAACGTAACCAATGCGCCATCTGCTGGTCCCGCCCATTCTCTACGGTCACAGAGTTGCCTTGAACGTCCACCTCTGCACTGAAGAGCTGCACGGTTCTCTAGCAATTAATTTAGTCTCTGGGCCCTTAACTTCCTCACTTCCAAAACAGGGTCTATCTTGTGATCTGGGCACTGGGTAATGAAAATGCCCCAGGCCTACAGAGAGCGAAAAGCCAGGTGCTGCTCTCCAGCCTCCGTCTCTAATCCTCCAACGCTCACACATAGACTCGAGACATAGGGTTGATTGGTCCTAAGGACTGACATTTTTTTTTCTGGACACTATCCCACCTGCAAGGCTTCTAACCCTGCTCCCTATCCTGTCTGCTCTGCTGAGGCCTATGCCTGGACCCAGAGGCACCACCCACAACAGCCCTCCTGCTCTGCATGGGCTCTAGGGAGAACCAGCCTGGGGGCTGCCTGGAGTGAGCTACTCAGTGCTTCCATTTCCAGGGCTCTGCCTAGACCAGCTTCCCTTCCTTCCTCTTGTATGCAGAGAGCTCTAATCCCCACAGACATCCCCACCTTCCCCACCACGCTTACTTAGTCTTAGCTCAGAGCTGGGTGTCAACACTGCAAGCTAACCCAGACTTCCCGGGCGTGGGCTACAGGTCCAGGATCTTCTGGCGTCAACTCCAACCTGGGGCTATTGGTGGAGACCCTGTTGCCCATCAGATGAGGTCCCAGGTGCCCTGGTATGGCCCACTATTTGGCAACTGTTTTATTTAAGGATGGGCAGTGGAGCCCCCTGCCCAGCCTGGCCTGAGGCCTGAGGCTAGCTCTTCATTGTGATCCAAAGCCTTGGGCCCTTTGTACCCTCTGCCCCTCAGAACTCAGGCTGGTACTGCTCTTCCTGGGAGAGCTCAGGGAGGTGTATAGCCGAGTAGCCACACAAAATGTCCCAGGATTTTCTCAGCTGAGTTCTGAGTAGTGGAAGCCACAGTTAGAACTGTGCCTTCACTCGGGAGCCTGGTTGAGGGGGTCGGAGACAGAGGCCGTGCGGGTACTGTTGCCCTGGGGTAGCAGAGCCCTGATGCCAAGGGCCTTAGAAGCTGTAGTGTAGAGGGTAGCTTGCAAAGGGCTAAGGAATGGGCAGAGGTGAGGAAGCACAAAGCGAGTGTGGACTGTAGGTGTGGACAGATTATCAAAACCTCAGCTGGGAGGGGCAGAGAGGCAGAGTTGGCTAGGCCAGTGGTGAGATGTGGAAATCCCCAGGAGGCCTATTGGGGTGTGTTGGGGGACATTCCTCCCCTTTGGTCTAACCAGCCTGACTTCACACCCACCTGCCAGCCCTGGTCGTTCACCCTCTGGCCTCCCCCCTGTCAGGGCTACCGAGCGGCAGGGCCCACAGGGCCGGGCTCCAGGCCTGCAGCCTTTGGCCTGCCTGGCCTGCTTATGGCAGGTTTACGATGTTTTTCTCCCTCCTGAGTGTGTTTGGCTTTTGGTTTCTATGGCGAAGCAGGAATTTCCTAATGGCCTGTTTCCCATCTGGGCTGGGCAGACATCGGTGATGACTCTGCCGGCAGCAGCAGGAGGGGAGGCACACCCCTCAGAGTCTCCATCCACCTCCCCCAGAGCCGGTGGATACCTGACCCCACACCCCAGTCAGGCTGCGGCCGGCCTTGGGATGAGAGGCTCCTGGTGGCCAGTGTGTGAGGCCTGCTTCGCCCAGCCGTGAGCTTCCTCAGACACGAGGGGCGGAGGAGTGGGGAAGCCGCAGGGCTTCTGCTGCAGGAACCAGACCAGAGAGGGACGGGCCAGAGCTGGAGGGGAAGGGTGCACGCAGCCCTGCCCCAAGAGGGTGGCAGATCTAGAGCTGTGGCTCCTTGCCACACCGTGGGACAAGGGAAGATGTTGCTCTAGAGTCTCTCCCTGTGGTGTGCCAGGTCCTGGTGGCTCTGGGCCCAGAGCCCAGCCCCTCTGGGTCCTGGGTCCTGGGTACGGCGAGCATAGTAGGCAGACATAT